ATATATTGTATATACTTATTGGATAGTTTTTCTTGTATTCATTATAAGCTCTCTTTAACTTTAGACAAAAAGAGAGGAAATGTGGTGGTATTGTGTTCCCCAAAATATTGTGTACCTTAATAAACTTATCTTCAGCAATGAGTCATGGACACATATAGAAAACAATGGTTTTAATAAATTCACAATAGAATGGTATACATGAATTTAGGGAAAGCAAACAATATCATGAAAATCCTCCAGATCACATGAGTAAATCTTATATACACTGATGACATAAGACATTTTATACACCACTTCTCAAACATTTAAGTCCATCAGTACTTGTTTTGAACCCATTATGATGCAGGATACTAACACGGGGACATTTAGTCAGTTCCTTGCTGTGTTGTGTTGGTACAGAATGACATCTAAAAAACCATTGTGTTAGCTCTGGAGAAAAAGGCTCAGTGGGTAAGAGCACTGGCTGCTTTTCCAGAGGGTCTGGGTTCAATTCCCAGCACCCACGTGCAGTTCACAACTGCCTTTAACTCCTGTTTCAGGAAACCCAACACCTTCACACAGACATACATGCAGGAAAAACACATTAAATGAAATTTAAAAATATTTTTTAAAATATCCTCCCATCCCGGGGGAGTGGTGGCACACACCTTAGATCACAGCAGTTGGAAGGCTAAAGAAGTTATATCTCTGAGTTTGGGGCCAGCCTGCTCACAGAGTGACTTCCACAACACCCAGAGCCACACAGAGAAATACTGTCTCAAAAAAACAAAAACAAACAAAAAAATGTAAAAAGCATCACTATAGTCTTGTAGGAGAAAATGGTATATAGCCTGCATCACAGATGTATGGGTTTCTGTCCTAATATGTTGTTTGTTTTGTTTGCAGTTTTCAATTGACCTAAATGAGTCTTCAAAATGGATTCTTTTAGGACATGTGTACAGCCATTAAGCAATGGTGAGAAGAGATCCACATTCTTCTGTTGCTCTTTAGATGTTCTAACTAACTAGCACTCTGATGCCTTTTTCAACAGCCACTCAAAAAGCTCATTTCGCATGTAAAAAAAAATGTATCCAGTGAAGCACACACTTTAATTTCAGCATTTGGGAAGCGGGTTTGAGGTTTTTATCTGGGAAGAGGACACAGGGAGAAGAATCAGGAGCTAAAGGCCAGCCTGGGCTATGACACTGTCTCAAAAATTTTTTTTAGCTAGGCAGTGGTGTACACCTTGAATCCTAGCTCCCCAGCGGGCGGAGGCAGATGGCTCTGAGCTCGATCCCTGCCTGGTCTACATAGTGAGTTTCAGGCTATCCAGTGCTACATAGTGAGATCCTGTCTTTTAAAAAAAATAATATTTTGACTAAACAGGGCCTGGAGAGATGGCTCAGAGGTTAAGAGTACTACTGTCTGCTCTTCCAGAGGTCCCAAGTTCAATTCCAGCACCCACATGGCAGCTCACAACTGTAACTCCAGTTCCAGGGAATCCAGTGCCCTTTCAGACATATATGCAGGGAAAATACCAATGCACATTAAAAAAATAAAAATAAATTTGGGTGGGAGAAAGTATATTTTGACTAAACACACTAAACATTTCAATGCCAAAGACAAGTTTAGGCTTCACTGAACTCAAATCATTTGGGATCACTGAGCTGGTAAGAAGGCTTAGGAGGTACGGGAACCAGTTGCAAAGACAGACGACCTGAGTTCTATCCCTGGGACCCACCTGATGGAAGGACAGAACTGATTCCTGCCAGCTGCATACCACCCCAACGTGTATACGCAAATACAATGTAAAACACTTAAATATACATATTGGGTTGGGAATTTAGCTCAGTGGTAGAGCGCTTGCCTAGCAAGCACAAGGCCCTGGGTTCAATCCTCAGCTCAAAAAAAAAACTTAAAGGGGGCTGGAGAGATGGTTCAGGGCTTGAGAGCACTGGTTGCTCTTCAGAGGACAGGTTCCAAACCCAGCACCCACGTGGCCGGCCAGCCACTCCCAATCGTCTATAACTCCAGTTCGAGGGGATGCCACACGCTCTTCTGACCTCTGTGGTCACGACACATGTTTACACACTCACACAGACATACGTGTAAATAAAGGGTAGAGACGGCTCCACAACTAAGCACTTGCTGTGTTTGCAGAGGGCTGGGATTACATCCCAGCACTCAATCATTTGTGGCTCCCTAGGGGCTTGGATGTCCTCTCCTGCCCTCCGTGGGTACCAAGCACTTGGGGTGCACATACACACATACATGAAGGCAAAACACTTTACACTTTTGCGTTTATCACTTTATATATGAAGTAATCTGTTTATGTTAGTGGGGCTGGAGAGATGGCTCAGCAGTTAGGAGAACTGGCTGCTGCTCTTCCGGAGGGCCTGGGTTCCATTTCTAGCACCCCCTAAGGTGGTCCGCAGCCATCTGTTAGACAATATAAGCCTGGTCCCTGGATCCCAGTGAAGGTGGGAAGAGGACTGACCTCACAAAGTTGTCTTCTCATCTCCACACTTCCACAGTAAATTTTTTTTTTTTTAATATTTTTTGAGACAAGGTCTCACTATGTACTCCTGACTGACTTGGAGCTCACAGAGATCCATCTGCCTCTGTCTCCTGAGTGATGGAATTAAAAGCAAGCACCACTACACTCAGCTCTACTTAAAATTTTATCGTTAAAAATCACCATTGATCCTGGCTGGCTTGGTGACGTCTGTACTAGGGCATTTTGGATAAAATGAATAATGTATTACCTTGGGAAAAATTCATGAACCTGTGCTTGTAAAAATTAGTGCATTTTGTTCTGTGTTCTACTTAAAAATCCTGTACCGGGGCTGGGAGATGCTCAGTGGTAGAGCCCCTGCCTAGAATCCCCCAGTGAGGGGCTGGAGTGTGACTCAGTGGACGGAGCCCCTGCCTAGAATCCCCCAGTGAGGGGCTGGGGGTGTGGCTCAGTGGTAGAGCCCCTACCTAGAATCCCCCAGTGAGGGGCTGGGGGTGTGGCTCAGTGGTAGAACCCCTGCCTAGAATCCCCCAGTGAGGGCCTGGGGGTGTCGCTCAGTGGTAGAGCCCCTGCCTAGAATCCCCCAGTGAGGGGCTGGGGTGTGGCTCAGTGGTAGAGCCCCTGCCTAGAATCCCCCAGTGAGGGGCTGGGGTGTGGCTCAGTGGTAGAGCCCCTCTAATACAAGGTTGTTGGCTTCATCCCCAGCATTGGGGGTATGGGTCTTGTACAACTTCTAGAAAGTTCATATACCACTGTGACTTCTGTCTGCTCTCACTATCCAAGTATTTCCCATACAATAAATTGCTCTCTCTTTTAGGATTATTTTTTCTTTTCTTTCTTTTTTTTTAAGATGGCGTCTCTCTATGTAGCGCTAGCTGGCCTTGAACTAGCAGAGATCTGCCCACCTCTGCTTCCATGCCCAGCCTATGATTCATTTTTATGTGTATCTGTGTCTGTGTGAATGTATACCATGTGTGTTCATAACTGCAGAGGATATTCCGGAGCTGGAGTTACATATAAGTGTGTGTGAGCACTCTGATGTGGGTGCTGGGAACCAAACCCATGTCTTTTGTAAGCACAGCAAATATTTTTTTTGGGGGGAGGGGGAGGAGCTTTAGACAGTGTTTCTCTGAGAAGCAGTCCTGGCTGTGCTGGAACTCATTTTGTACACCAGGCTGGCCTTGAACTCTGCCTCCTGAGTGCTGGGATTAAGGCGTGCGCCACCACTGCCTGGCACAATCAGCAAATATTAACTGCCTGAGCTGTCTTGTCATCTCTCCAGCCTTCCCAAATTTTGTGATTTTTTTTTTGTATTTTTAGATTTATTTATTTTCTGTGCATGAATATTCTGCCTGTGTGCACGTATGTACGCCATGTGCATGCCTGCTGCCCGCAGAGGTCAGAAGAGGCATTGGGGCCCCTGGAACTGGAGTTATGGATGGTTGTAAGTCTCCATGTTGTTTCTGGGAGCTGAACCTGGATCCTCTGCAAGAGCAACACGTGTTTGTAACTGCTGAACCACCTCTGCACCCTCCATTGAGGATTTTTTTTTTTTTTTTTTGAGGTAGGGTTTCCTATGTATCCCGGGCTGACCTCAAACAAAGCAATCCTCCTGCCTCAGCATCCCCCAGTGGTGGAATTAAGGTATCGACCAGTCACCTGGCTTTGATTTGCCCTTTTAGTTTTCTTTCTCTGGGAAACCTAAAATCTGCTGTGTCACTCAGTCTTGCTGTTCTTGGGGGGCTACTCACCTATTTAGCCCATGCTGGCCAGAAGCTCCAGATCTATGGCTTCAGCCTCCCGAGTGCCCGGATTACAGGTGTGTGCTCCATGCCCAGCTGTGCTGCTGTTAAGGCGTGTGTGTGTGTGTGTGTGTGTGTGTGTGTGTGTGTGTGTGTGTGTGCAGGCTGTGACCCCTGCATGTCTAGTGTGTTAGACAGAGCTGCTGTCCTCCCCTCCCTAGGTCGCTCTGTTGACTGGTTCCATTTTCCTGGGTTTTCCACCACTGGGTCTTAGGATGGAGGGATCTTGAGTCTGTCCAGCATGGTTTTGGACATTCCTTCCCCGCGGTCATTATGGTTCATACCTGACTCCACGCCCCATCCTGTGGTACACACAGACAGTGCTGATGAGTTTGATGTGGAAGCTGTGTGGAACTGGGCTTTTAAATGCTTTCTCAGTTAGGTCCTGATCCTTATTGTGTTGCAGTAAAAGTGTAAGAGCCTTTTAACAGAGCTAGGTATGGCCCATGTGCCTGCAGTCCCAGCACGTGGGAGGCAGCGGCAGAAGGCTCCCCAGTACATGGGTACCCTGGGCTACCAAGAGAAAGCTGCTGCTGCAGAAACACTAGCAATCGGAAGGCTGAGCCAGGAGGATTGCGGTGAGTTTGAGGCCAGCCTTGGCTATAGAGTGAGACTCTGTCTCAAACCAACCAAC